TATATATATATATATATATATATATATATAATTTCTTTGTTTGACAAAAAATTTTTAGATTATAAGTTAGTGGGTTCAAGAATTGTATGATTAAAGAGTTGATTCAATGAAATATGTGGTTAAAAATGAATTATGACTAATAATTTCAAAAAAAATGCTTTGTGAAACTTAGTCTATTTACTCTGAAATTCTTAATTATTTTTATTACTTATTAGAATAAATCCAAAGATGAACTAAATCCAAAGATGAACTAAATGCAAAAAGCTCTCTTTACATACTAGTCCATGATTTTTATTTTTTCGAGCTACCGCTACATGCACAGGGACGGATTCAAGATTGGATTCAAGATCGGGTTACAAAATTTCAAATCGGGCTACTACGCGAGAAAATTTTTTTTTTACACATAAAAAACTGATTTTTTTACCCAAAAAAAATAAAAAATACCTTAAAAAAAACTATTGAACCTGGGGGGGGGCTACAGCCCAACCCAGCCCACCCCCCCTCCATCCGTCTCTGTACATGCATGTCTTACTTGAAACTTTTGCTCCATGTCGATCGTGCTCTTCATTGATAAATGTTTAATCCGGCTTGTACTATCTAAATTCAGACCACAAATAAATAATCAGTTCAATGATATTTCCCAAAGTATATATTTTCACAACCTTAGAAATCTTGAATTGATTATTTGTATTTTGTAGAAAGACACATTGTTTACTCTACTCTTCTAAGAGTTATGCATGAAAAATTAGTAAATCAATACGATTTGTGATTACAATAATGCTAGTATCGTGGCATCCTTTATATGCTAAATGTTGGCTGAAATATGATTTTCTATTAGTTCTTATTTTATTCCAAGCTAAAGCTAAGAAATTAATATATTGTAGTCATACATAAAAACCATACGTATAGGTCCATGGAGAATGGACAAATCTTTCGTCGCTACTATAAATATCATTCATTCGGTTACTTATAAAATAATTAGTTTGATTTTTTCTTTCTTGCTGACAACGTCAATAAATAATTACAATACGAGATTACTTTTTTGCGTTCTCACTTCGTTGACAATTTGCTTCGGATCTCGATAAAGCTACTCAGAATCAATTGGCAAGAGGTCAACAATTGCGTGAGAGAGTTGATTTGATAAATGCATTTCAAAGGAAGGGAATTTACAATACCATGTCGAAAGTTTAGAATTCTTGACGAGAGTGTAAGTAATATAAATGATTGAAAATGTGAGAAAGAATGATATAGAAGATAATCGAGACTCCCACCTTCTACATATAGATGACATGGCTCAAAAGCATATCGATCCTTGTTCGTTTTGAAAAATGTTAAGAAAATGAGTTAAACTGCTTGTACAACACATAGCTTACAGTCCCCTTACATGATGGGGGTCCCAAGTTGATTGTTGGAGGGTATCACTCTTGTGTACACTTTTACGAGAATATAGGAAGTAGTATCCCATGACATCATTTCCATTGTGACTTATAGGGCACTCCTTGGACGGCTGAGGTCACATTGGCCTCCCATTGCTTTGGTGCTTTGGACGAATAATGTTCACAATCCACTACAATAGGCTAACCGTTGGACGTCATCACTATATAGATTATAAATAAATAAATAAAAGGTTGAACCCCAACTTTGAGGATTCTCACTGTCCCGCTCCTAGGGTATTGTGAGGGAGGTAAATCACGAAATGTTCCCCAACAGGTCAAGGAACAAGAATTTGTCTGTACACTGATACCCACAAAGAGTCTAATTTCATATCTCAGAAATCCAACCCTCACACTGCGGCTGTCAGTAAGACTGAAACTACCTCATTCCTGTACTTTGCACCATTGGATTATGCCCCGAGAGGCTATATAGATTATTAGTATCAAAAGAACCTTCAAAGAAAGAAATTATTTAAATATATATATTTTTAAATTAAGGGGAAAAAAAACTAAGCAATTTTTATTTATTTATTTATTTTTTAACTTGTGTGAAACAAATTAAGCTAACATATGCTTTTATTTATTTGGAACACGCAAACTAGTTTATCAAGGACAATTTCACGTGCTAAAGGAGTTTATTATAAATTAAGCCCACTTTTGAATCTCGTTAATTTTTATTTCATTTTTTTCTCTTCTATTTTCAACCACACAATCTTCCATAAAATAGTATTAAACGTAAATCGAAACTTTTTTTTATCTTTTTCAACTGCATATTTTTCATAAAAATATTATTCCACTCATTTTCATTTTAAAAAAAGGGGGCCAAACGGGGTTAAATGTTTAGAAGAAGGATAACATTAGGTAGAAAAGTTTGTAAGTTGTTAACAAGTGCATTGATTAATTAAATAATTAACAATAACCTCCATGTGATGTGTTTCTAACATCTCATAAGTGTAGGATGTTGATTGCGTAATTTTTAATTCGATAACTTTTACTTTCTTTCTATTTTTTTAGCTTATTATTATTTTTTTAAAAATGTTTGAGTAAGACAACTCTAGAGCATGGAGCACAAGAAATCGATTAATTAATTAATTAATTAATTGAGATAATGTAAAAAAACATAAAATAATTCAATATGATATTTCACGTATCCCGACTAAGATTTTTCTTTTTTCATACTTATAAAATATCGAAAAATCGAATATTTTAAAATTAGACTTTCTTTTTTAAATACTTATAACTAGTTTTCAATTTATTTAAGACATGAGATTTACCATCTCCATCTTTCACGGATATGTTGGTTTATGTCTTGTTTTTACTATATTATTATTTTTATAAATTAATATTTTTTTGAGATTTGTCCAAACTTTTAAGATTTCTTGGGGATGCAAAATGGTGATAATAGAGAGTGAAAATTTTAACATCGAGGTCAGTAGAGAATTTGTTGTATATTTGTATATGCGAATTAGACATGTAAAGGTAAATGAGTGGCATAACACCTTGTTTGGTACATCATAACTTGACTATAGAAGTCCGTAGAGTCATACTCATTCGTTTTATTTTACAAGCAAGTCACATTGAACCTCCTTGATGGTCGACTGAACATGGTTCATCATAAACTACAATTAATGTCGAGTCATACTCATTCGTTTTATTTTACACCTATAGTTCATATAAATATATACTTCGAGAGCATTGTTGATATACTTTGAAAACCTTTTTACAATTTACATTTTAACCTTATCAACATCTTTACTTTTACTATTTTTAAAAAAAAAAAAAAACCACAATTGTTCTACAATTTATTTTTGGGAAAGTTAATGCATAGGTAGCAATAATAGAACAAAGTGAAGAAATAATTAATAACTATATGTAAAACAAAAAGTATAGTTCCCACAAGAAGACACTCTATAGTGGTACAAGAGATTCAATGAATTTTCCCCACATATTTGACGTGGAAAGATGGTGCTAATTAAAGATTAGATTAGGTTTTTTGTGATATGACATTTGAGTTTATGTTTGCCTCACTAAGTGCTTCTTTAATAGCCCAATTTGGAATAAAAGTGGAAGCATTTTGAAGAAAAGCCCTGCATAAAGACTATTCTATGAAAGGTATTGGCCATCAATTATGATGATTACCACCATTAGTTTGGTAATTGAAGTGAGTTAATGGGTTGCATGTGAGGGAAGATGAAGGTAATCAACTAGTAGTTGCTCATGCCACTATTGCACGCGTCTAATTACTCGTTGAGTAGAAGTGTCAATTGAGTCGTACTTGACTGACATGGTTCGATATAATTTTTTTAAAACGTGTCAGACTAAAGTAAAATGTATATATCAAGTTGTGCTTTGGGATGATACCACAGTCCATTGATACTGTACACCTCCTGTCTGTATTCAAGATACTTTTTCACCTACTGTAATGGGCTCAAAATATGTCGATCAGGACGACTGAACATAATATGGCATCCCCTCCTAACGTATCTCAATTAGGCTATAAGTGAATTAATGTGAACTCTACACTCTTATGACATACTCAATACGTCTTTTTCATGTGGAAGGGGAAAAAAATCACTTCATGAGGAATGAGTAATTGAAAAATTCTATTGACGGCAGTTTTTTTCACAATTTAAAAATAAAAACTCTAAACCACACGATACCATTTACAAATTTCATAGCAAGTTTCTTTTTTCTTTAATCATGTTCGACCTAATTCAACGGTCCCACCAAAGATGCTCTAATATTAGTTTGATACTCCAAGTTATGATTACCAAAGAAATCAAAAACTGAACAACAAACTACCATGCTTTTTCTTATTTCTCCCATTCAAGATTGCAAAATATCCAAAGTAGCCCAGCATCAACACCTTCTTGATATAGATCTTTTTGACTTTTTATCCCAAAGAAAAGTGACAAAAGCATTAATTTGACATGAATGGATGTGGGTGGACATTTTACTAAAGTTAATTATTCTCATCATAGTGTTGTGTAGGAAGAGAATTCATAAGTTTAAATTTTAGGGAATGAACAATTTTCCAATGTCAATTTTGTCCCCCCATGATATGTTGCTCCAACATGGATTAAACTATAATTTTTTGACCAGATATATTCCCTTGTAAATCTCCATTTTTATTCTGCAAATTGCAATAATATAAGCAGAAACCATATATATATATATATATGGAAGGGCATCTAACTCCATATAAATCATAAATTAACCAAAGTAAGTCTCAAGTTGTAGGCGCTAGCTGTCAAAATCACATGGTGGTTTTCACCTAAAACCAATTATATATTATTATTATTATTATTATTATAATTATTATTTTTAAGTAGATGGGGTCAATCATTCATCATGTAATAATCCAAAATGAGCTAAGGGTGGAACAAAATGTTTCCATGCATCTTCGGCGATCTCTTGACTCAATTCATACCGTCAACACAGCTTTCCTGTTTGGTCCCCATTAAATTCCATTTTATATTATTTTATTTTTCTCTCTCCTATTTTCAACCACACAATCTTTCATAAAATAATATTACACGTAAATCGAAAACTTTTCTTTGTGGGAAAAAAAAAACTATCATATTAATACATCTAATATCGATGTATAGGATGTCACGTAAGACGATTATCGCAGTGAGCGACTATGAATATCATTACTCATAATCTTTAGGCCGTTTATCGTTGTTCTACGAAATCAAATGCACTCAGGGAACCACGAAATATAAGAATCCAACACAATAATCTTCAGTACATTGTTTCAAACGGAATATTTCACCTCAGAACAACACGTAGCATAAAACCAGTCTAATGATAAAATTCAGTTTGATAGTGATACAGTGCAAACTGTCTACCGATGGTACAGAATAAGCTTGTGCTCGATTCCGTAATGGAATTCTATGTCGTGGTGCTTTACAGTAATCCCCGTACGATATACATTTCTATGTACAAAAGAATAATTTACCCTGCTTGTAGATATAAAATACATTTGAAGCTTTAAATTGCCTGCTAAAGAGGGAATATCTTTGAAGAAAAATTATAGCAAATAATTTACATTGTGGGATATTTCACTGCACCTTCAAGTCTGGACGTCGAGAAGATGAAACTCTTACCTTTATGAAAACCGTCCCCAAGATTCAATGATAGATCGTTCCTCATGTCAAAAAGTTGGAGGTTCGATGGTGCTTGATGAAGGCTTGAGAATACAATACACATATGTGAGGAAAATGTCAAAAGCCCCTGCATTCAACGGAACAAATCTGGGAAGGACCACATTATAAACCTCGCAAAGATGTCTGTTTCCAGGAACTTTATATGAGCAGCCCGTCCAATTATGGTATTGAGGTTCCTCCCTTGCAATGAGATGTCAAAATTAACATCACGTCGCATGAATACCCGGTACTCAGTGGATGATGCACGTATTTGGTCCATGCAATTGTTAAGCATCTCCAGAAAAGCTTTGCCTTTTTTTGAGGAGTCGCCTGAAGACGCTGGGCACATTTCAATTCTAGCAGAATGGTACGGAACATAACCATCCTGATAGCAGATAATAATCAATTATGTTAATATACGTACAAATCAAATAGTTAGAATATGAGATCATTTCTGAGAAATTCAATGGTATGAATTATTAGAGAGGACTAGACAAACAATGGACAAGATTTCAGTTTCCTTTTCTTCCCAATCCGTCCACGGTGTAGTCTGCCAAACCAAACATGCCATTGTGTTTTTGTTGCATTCAAGAAACATTCTATTAAGATTGAAGCACTTGCATCAAACAATATACTCGAAAGGGTGTATATATATATATATATATATATATGTATATATATGTATATATATACATGTATAAGAGGGGGGGGGTCCTGAAATAGGGTTAGTATTTCAAGGATTAAAAAGATGTTAAAGAGGGGTTGTTATGAGATGGAAAAAATCCTACTCAGTACTCTTCTTAATTGAGGTTTTCTTCTTCTTTTGATAAAATAATATCCCATCATTTTTTTTTTTTTTTTTAATTTGAAGTATGCCATCTGAGATATATGAACTTGGGCCTAACTCCATTCTTGTAAGGACACCACTGGCACTCCCTTATCAAGAATTCTTAAAACAGTGATCCCTTTCCCTCTTCTATGCGTCTCCTAGCCTCTCCACTGGGCCTTTACGCTTTGAGAGGTCACTCAGGGCTTATTTTAAAAACAGTTTTAAACTTTAAACTTGGAGTTAAGACATGCTCTTATCATATACTCAGCATGAAACATAAAAATCTTTACAAAATCATAAAAATTTTATGAATAGTAAATGTTCTTATAAGATCTGGAACTAATATTTATTATTAGCACCATATCTTTAGAACTATATATATATATATATGTATATATATGTATATATATATATATATATATATATATATATATATATATGTATATATATATGTATATATATATATATATGGACCCCAAATTTCACGGAGAACTTCTACACATCTAAGGAGACTATCAGTGTAGGCGTTTGGATCTTAATTATTCATAAATGTCATCAATGAGACGTTATAATTATTGATTACTCACCCTTTTGAAGTTCATTCTTTTTATTTAGATAGGGAGATTGGTCATTGATTACAAAGAAGCAAGAGAATAAACCTTGGAATTCACCTCCTGCTCCACCATTAGTAGTTTGGTATAATTTGAGTCTTCATCGAGATGAATTTACTTTTATTTCCAACTGTGCACTGATAAGGTTTTTTAGTTGCAGTTTTTTCATATTCCCACTGAATGTGATTTTATTTGTGACAAAACAGCAAGTTTTTTATTTTCATTTAGCACACAAGTACATTTTAATAGAAGTTATGCATGCATGAACTACTAGTCCTTTTATCTTTTCCCTTGCACATTACCACCTCACCCATCATTTTCAACATGGTGGGTTACTCCAAGTCTAAAACATAAGGACATTTTAACAATAGCTCACACGTGTATAGATAAGTAGATAGACACCATCATTAAATGTAAAAGCAGCAAAATGATGCGCGTGTTGACAATTCACATAAAAATAAAGATTGGAGGAAGAGAAATGCAGAGACTACTATTTATTTCCAAGAAGTTGATGGAACAACCAGGAATAGTCTAAACAACGAACTCAAAAAAAATTTATATGTAAAATACCTGGGGAGAAGATAGCAGAATGATATTCCTGAAATTCTCCAATGTCTTTTCCTGAGAAATATGGAGAAAAGAAAGTATAAGAACATTAATGGGTAAGAAAGAAAGTACACTGTCATTTTTCTCTCTCACGATAAATTCTAACACTGATAGCTCAACATTTTGTGGGAGATTCAACACATCGAAAACGAAAAATAATTTGGACAATGATTCAAAAAACACATTCCCGAATGACTGTAACTCAATTTTGACCTTCTCAACATCTCATCCAGCTAGGGGCCATATGGAATTTTAATTAACGGTTCACCCTTGACAAAAAACAGAAACACACATACTTAAGGGAGAATGTGAAGAGACCAATCAATCAGTACCTTGCTAAGTTTGTACAAGAACGTATTTTGAAGATCAGGATCATCGGTAAAAGTCAGCTGATGAATACACTGTGTGCCCTTGAGCTTTTTCAAAAGCCATAAACCCCCATTAAATAAGGAGTTTGAACTGTATAGGTAACCTAGATGTGGTCCAGAAACAGAAGGATACGTATGCAGATATCTCAGATATGGTTCCATAATGTTTTCTGCAAGAGTAGAGAAATATTTAGAAACATCCAAGATATTTGGAAAATTCCCTCAAGCTTCAGCATAAAAACCTGTTAATGCAGTTCTCAAAATAATGTTTCCAATGGAATGTCCAACAAAGCTAAGCTTAATAGTTCTCAGGACTCCAGATCTTGAGAATTTATCCATTTTCTTTTTCACAAAAGATACAACTTCCTGTGCCAATCTGTGTCCCATTTCCCTAAAATTTCCAGATGTTTTCTCTTCATTAACCTCTGACATGAGAAATTCTACCTTGGGATCTAACAGGAGCCATTGATTCCGGACAAGCCGCAAGTCCAGATGATGTCCCTAACATGTCAAAATTGGGAAATTTCTCTTATAATTCTACAACAACTTGTAGAAATGCAATGCAACACAACACATAAAACTAACTTAATTTTTCAGAGTCATGAAAAGAAACATCGTGAAGTCAAAATAAGCTGACAAATTTGTTTATGGTACAGAATGTGAAAAAGTAGTAAAGACCTGCATGATCATAACACATTTTATAATATCTAAGAAGGTTCCTGATAAACCTCCAATTAAAATTACTTATGCAAGATGAAGGAAAACCCAGCAAAGCCGTAATGGAGAATCCAAGAACGTGGCAGCCCAGTTTAGTGGAAATATCTAAAAGAATTGCTGAGTTAGTTAGAATTGTTAGTAAGTTTGTTAGAGTCAGTGGAAAATGTGCATGTATTTGGATGATTTCAAAAAGTAGGCAAATTAAGTGGGAAAATTGATTGTAACTAGGCAAATTAAATAAGGGTATAATAGTAAAGGAACAAAACAAAATATTCTAAATTTAGAAACAAGTATATATATTTGAGACAAGAGAAAAAGGAAACTAAGCCTATATAAATGGGACGGGGTAGTATTTGTTTGGCGAACATTTCTATGAAGCACTTACCTCTAAATTCAGTTTGCAAAGAATGATCCTAGTTGGGTTGGAAGATTGTATTCATATGTTGTTCTTGTGTGCCTCATCTAAATAGGTTTGGTAAAAAGAAAGGGTTTCTGGGGACTGGTCTGGAGTTGCTATGATTCATCCTGAGGTGACCTTATTGCATAACCATAGCAGTGGTTCATTTGGTGGGATCTCTTTTGAGCATGGATTGGTGGGGGAAAGATGCGGATATCTTGTGGATTCTACAGATGGGCTGCTCTCGACTCACTTACCATATTGTGGAAGCATCCAACCTTGACCACAAGGTCTTGATTTGAACCCCCAGTCATCTTGAACAAACCATGCCCGGGCTGCCTCAAGCTGAGCACATGCAGCTGTTTGTGCCAATGCTGGAATATTTGGAATTGGGAGTCATTCTAAACCAAGAAGAGGCTCATTGCGGCATTGACAAAACAAATAAGTGGGTCTAGTTCACCAGTGATGCTGAGGCACTCGCCTTAAGAGAACCGCATATTTTGCAAGAGATAATGAGATGAGAATGGCAGGCAGAGGTGGAATGTGACGCTCAGCTGATAATTGTTTTGCTTATTTTTCCTTGTAATCTTGCTTCTAATGTTGTTATTCTCTTTAATATTTTTGGTTTGTTAAGAGATGTTGGTACTGTTCTTGCTATTTTTTTCCTTGCAATGAAAACAAGGTAATTCATAACTTGGCTTCCTTTGCTACTAATTCCTACCTCAGATACTGGGTTGATTCTCTTGCTTCATTACTCTATTTGTGCATGGTGATTTTTTGTTTGTAATATAATTATGTTTTCTACAAAAAATAAATAAAATAAAATAATTTAGGGTAATATATCGTAGTGTCCCCGACTTTTCATATACATAGCAGCTATGTCCTTAACCTTTTAACATTGCATGGTGTGGTATCCCAACTGACGAGAAAGTGTATCTAGACATTAAATAATCATATAATATGCACGTGATATTTGATTGAAAGGGCTATAGTTCAAAATGATTAATATTTGACGTGAATTGAATTGTCACAGTTTGATTTTCTATTTAGGCACATTGCATGTAATGTGGACATTTAATGCCTAAATTATTATTTTATATCAGATGTGGATACAACTTGGGGGTGAAAATGAAACTTAGAAGCACATGGACAAATGAATAAAATGTGACTTCTAACCATATCAATTATAAGATAACCAATAAGAAGTCCTATGTGGCACAACTTGAAAATGACCAAAACTACCCTAAGGTTTTGAGGAAAATTTATAAATAATCCCTCATTTGAAGAAGAAAGGATGCAATTCAAACCTCTCCCTCTTGAATAGATATTTCTCTTCATGTTTTAGTTGAAGCATCAAGACTAGTAAATTTAGGAGGTGAAAGTCATAGTTAGGTGACATGATTTGTTGATTGTATTTATATTAATATTCGATTGTAATTGTTTCATCAATAAACTCGTTTGATTCAATTCGTACTATCAACACTAAGTTTTAAGGCTATTGCAGCCACTCCATTATTGTAGATCGAAGAGCATGGTTAGGCACCCAGTTGCAGTGTGGAAGCTTGAGATTGGTCATGGGTGATGTATCATGACAAGTCTCTAGCCAGCCCTTGATAGCCCGAGCCTCGTAAGTGAACCCATCAGCAGCGACCACAGGATCTTGCATAATTTCCTGGAGATAACAACAAATTTAAGGATTGGTCTAATGCAGGAGACTACATCTCTTGTATACTGTTAATTACGCCACATTCACAGTAAAGAATATTGTAGATATAGTATTCGACCAACCTGAAAGATGGGACATATGAAATAGGATGGAACCTGGCAGAACTCTTTGGAACCCAACTGAAAAGAAGAACCCCCCATCGGTTTAAGAATCCTCCAGACATCTGAAACAAGATCAGGCCGGCGCATACTGTTCGTCTCACAGCAACTGACTGCAAGGTGAGCCAACTGTTTTGCTTGCACGAATGGCCAATCCCCAGCTGTTGGATCCAGCATATCGTTCAAATTTCCTTCATCTAAGGCACACAGAACTTCCTTCGTGATCCCACATGCAGGTCGTCCGGTTAATAACCTTAACAATATGATTCCAAAAGAATAGACATCTAACTTCGAAGTAAGCTCTCCAGTGGCAAGAAACTCGGGATCCATGTACGCAAAAGTACCGGTCGGACCTGTCGGGACAATTCTAATGTTTAAAGTGGTGCTGTTGCCTGAAAATTCATCGCAACATATTCCAAAATCTTTTAGCTTGGCCACAAAGTTGGAGTCAAGTAGAATATTAGCAGGATGCAGAACTCCATGTAGAAGTACACGAGGGCGGGAAGAATGCAAGAAGGTAAGAGCAGAACATATATCTGTTGCAATGCGAATTCGATTTTGCCATGACAATGGGAACGTATTGTCCTTGCAGTCAAGGCGATCTTCAAGGCTTCCACTTGGAAGATACTCGTAGACAAGAGCCATCTCTTCTTCACAGACGCCCATCAAAGTGACAAGATTTGGATGCCTCAGCTTACTAAGTATATTTACCTAACATAAGATCACCAAAAGATAAATATGTGACAGCCAAAATAGCATCTATAGGAGATAGAAACAAATTGGATATCGTTGTTACATTTTGGGACAAAAAATTACACAGGAAGGAAAGGGGGACCAATTACCAAAACATAACTTAAGATGAGGTGGTCATAAAATATAGATAATTTCATATAGTTGTGATATAACTATGTTGAAATCTTATAGCTGCAAGCCTGGACCCAACTGTTAGGGGGGAAATGTGTGAGACAAACAATGTGCATAGATGTAAGTATTAATGAAGAACCAAAGAGAGTAGTTGTCTGTTTATACTTGTGATTGCTGAATGAAACGAGAAAAAGGAATTCATTTAGCCTACCCCAAATTTATTCAGAACAAATTGTTGTTTGTTTTCTCCAACTTTTACTTTGGCAATAATGAAAAAACTTTTGTGTTCGCCCGATGAATGGCTAGTGATGTAGAATACAATCCAACAGTAATGAGATCGAGAAAGAAAGAGGGAAGGAGAGGAGAAAGAGAAGGGGAAGAGAAAGATTAAAGAAGAGGGAGAACAAATATTCAATATTCAATTAATAATCAAGTATGCTTACAAATGAAATCCTAAGTCACGTCTATAGGGGACAGAAGTTAAACTCAAATGAATTTATAATAAACTAAAACCTTCCTAGAATTATAAAATAATCGTTTTAATTAAATTCCACTTTAAAATCCTACCTAAATCCTATATTTATTCTTATCTTCATTCTAAATTAGCTAGTAACATGATTTAGCAAATATCATGAAAGAGTTTCTTGTTAAACCTCTTACCTCGCGTTGAAATTCCAAAAGACCTTGCAAGCTATTTGGGTGAAGTATTTTTATGGCCACTTCAGTGTGCCGAAGGAGTCCCTTATAAACAATTCCATAATGTCCTTCGCCAATCTTTAAGGATTCGTCGAAACTGTTAGTTGCAAATTCAATTTCTGCGAATGAGAATTCATAAAAGAACTGAGATGGAGATGAACTTGATGTCTCCTCATCTTGTTTTTTCCTCAGCTCCTCGGCTGCGATGAGTGCATTAACATGCTCAACCTTCAATTCATCTATTTCATTCCTGTATTTTTTCATCAATTCAGTAGTAGAAAATATTTCCTGTTCCAACTTGTCTATGCTCTTGCTAGAACTGGCAATTTGACAATCAAGAATTGATTTCTGATCCTGAGCAACTTTGATCTCTTTCATGACTTCATCTAGCTGGTATTTAACCTTTTCGACTTCTTCCTTATCTCTTGCTAGGGCTTCTTCAATTTCTCTCTGGTATCTTAGCTCCTCCGCAAGCGTGCTTTCGCATGATTTAACCTAAAAATGCAATTTACATAGCATCACTTGCGTTTAAAGTCATAGACATTAAAGCTTGAGCAAATATTATTACGGATTCAGCCTTAATCCCTACTTATGTGAACAATAATAAATTCAAAAAACAAAGAAAGCATGCAAACACAGACTTGATAAACTTATCAAAACGTTATTCCATTCGTCATTCCATCTACAATGTCATATCGCTCTTTGAGTTCTAAAACGGCGAGTGATGGCGTGGCCTATGAGATAACATTTTAGTAAGTTGCAACTCCCAGAACATTTAAAGTTCAATGGCAATTGAGAAACATTTGAAAAAGTTCAGTTGCAATTGGGATATTTAACCTCTACGAACACCCATTGTACCCCTAAAATTATTCGCACCAAAGTTTGGTTGGTCTGTGGTCAACAGTCAAATGTCCACCATGATTAAGCTAACATAATCTAACACAGAGTAACACGATAAGATCTTTGAAGCTCAATTCCTCCAAGACCAATAGCATCTCTAGAAAAGTATTTCGAAAGATGTTCTGTAAATTTCAATCCCCTACCCAAAAAAGAGTCGGATAGGCTACAACTATAACCAAAACACGTATAAAAATTCATGTATTTAATTTAAGAATGGAAATAAGAGAAAGTGATTGACTATTTACTCTGTGAACAGCATCAATGACATCCTTTTCAGCTTTCTTACGCCTGATTGATTCTTCATATGCTTCCTGCCGAGCCTTTTCTGCTTCCATCACAAATTGCCTGAGCCTATCATAAAGTTCATCTTTCATAGTTCCTTCCTGCTCAAGTTCATTAACTAGTCAGCAGGATTTTCCGATGATAATACTTAATGTAATACGCAAAATCAACTCCCTGATACATATAATCAA